AAAGTTAGCATATGAGAGGTTTTTACAAAGTAGAAGTGATGCGAGGAGGGAGGAGTATATGGAGAGGAAAAGAGAGGTTAAGAGAGTGGTGAAGCAATGTAAAATGAGAGCAAATGAGAGAGTGGGTGAAAAGTTATCAACCAATTTTGTTGAAAATAAGAAAGTTTTGGAGTGAGATTAATAAGTTGAGGAAACCTAGGGAACGAATGAATTTGACATTTAAAAATAGGTGAGGAGAGTTATTAAATCGAGAGTTAGGGATATCGGGAAGACGGAGGGAATATTCTGAGGAATTGTTAAATGATGAAGATAGGGAAGCTGTGATTTCGTGTATAGGGCAAGGAGGAATAACATCTTGTAGGGGTGAGGAGGAGCGATTATTGAGAGTGGGGAAAGTTCTTGAGGCAGTGGGTAGAATGAAAGGGAGTAAAGGAGCTGGAATTGGTGGGATAAAGATAGAAATGTTAAAAGCAGGTGGGGATATAGTTTTGGAGTAGTCGGTGCTTTTATTTTATAAATATATGGAAGAGGGTAAGGTACCTAGGGATTGGGAGAGAGCATGCATAGTTCCTTAGTATAAAGGCATAGGGGGAAAGAGAGAACGCAAAAATTATAGAGGATTAAGTCTGTTGTGTATACCTGGTACAGTGTATGGGAGAGTTATTATTGAAAGAATTATGAGTGTGACGGAGAGCAGCATAGCTTAAGGAAGGGTAGAGGGTGTGTAGACCAAGTATTTACAGTGAAACATATAGGTGAGCAGTATCCACATAAGGGTAAAGAGGTTTTTATGGAATTTATAGATTAGGAAAAGGCGTATGACAGAGTGGATAAGGGGGCATTATGACGGATGTTGCAAATGTATGGAATAGGGTGTACGTTATTGAAAGCACAGAAAAGTTTTGATAAGGATAGTGAGGCTGAGATTAGAGTATGTTGAAGAAAGGGAGATTATTTCCCAGTAAAAGTAGGCCTTAGACAGGGGTGTTTGATGTCACCGTGGTTGTTCAATATATGGGGTTTTAAGAGAAGCGAATGTTCAGGTGTTGGCAAGAGATGTGGAGTTAAAAGATGAAGAATCCAACACAGAGAGGGAGTTGTCACAATTGCTCTTTGCTGATGACACTGTGCTTTTGGGAGATTCTGAGGAGAAGTTGCAGAGGTTGGTGGATGAGTTTGGAAGGATATGTATAATAAGAAAATTGAAATTGAATATAGGAAAGTGTAAGGTGATGAGTATAACAAAAAGATTAGGTAACGAAAGAGTGGATATCAAGTTGGAGGGAGAGAGTATGTAGGAGGTGAACGTGTTCAAATATTTAGGTGTGGACGTGTCAGCAGATGGGTCTATGAAAGATGAGGTGAATCATAGAACTGACTAGGGAAAAAAAGTGAGTGGTTCACTAAGGAGTCTGTGGAGACAAAGAACTTTGTCCATGGAAGCGAAGAGGAGAATGTATGAGAGATTGTTATACCAAAGCTCTTATATAGGTGTGAAGCATGGGTGATGAATGTTACCACAAAGAGAAGGCTGGAGGCAGTGGAGAAGTCGTGTCTGCAGGTGTGGTGTGAATATAGTGTCGAGAATACGTAATTAGGATGAGGTGCTGGATTACCTAAGCTATTTTCCAGAGGGTTGAGGAGGGATTATTGAGATGGTTTGGACATGTAGAGAGGATGGAACGAAATAGAATGACTTCGAGAGTGCATATCTGAAGTGGGGGGAAGGCGGGTTAGGAGTCGACCTATTAGAGGTTGGAGGGAGGGGGTAAAGGAGGTTTTGTGTGCGAGGGGCTTGGACTTCCAGCAAGCATGCGTGAGCTTGTTAGATAGGAGCGAATCGAGACAAATGGATTTTAGGACTTGACGTCCTGTTAGAGTGTGTGCAACGTAACATTTATTAAGGGATTCAGGGAAATCGGCAGGCCGGACTTGAGTGCTGGAGATGGGAAACAGTGCCAGCACTCTGAAGGAGGGGTTTCAGTGTTGGAGTTTTATAACTGTAGTATAAACACGCCTCTGGCAAAAGAGTGAAGGAGTGAATGATCAAAATTTTTCTTTTTCGAGCCACCCTACCTTGGTGGGAAGCGGCCGATGTGTTAATAAAATAATAAGTTTACAATAATTTAATAATAAACATATACAATGAAATATTTTTTTTCATTATGTTCAGATTTATTTTTGCGAAATTACTGCATACACAAATTTTCTCCTGCCTTATTCGGCAAGAAGTGCGTTGCTATTTTAGCCAAAATAGCAAGTTTTACCTTTTCGGCCCGACATTATATATATATATATATATATATATATATATATATATATATATATATATATATATATATATATATATATATATATATATATATATATATATATATATATATATATATATATGTCGTGCCGAATATGTAAAACTGGTCAATTAGCAAACAAACACAGTGAAATATATTTTTTTCGTTAGGTTCAGAATGATTTTGGCGAAATTATTGCATACACAAATTTTCACTTGTCCTATATGGCAATATGAGCGTTGCTATTTAAGCCAAGATCGCAAGTTCTGCCTATTCGGCACGACATATATATATCAACGACAATACTGCGACTAGCCAAAGAGTCGAACCCATGCTGCTTTGGCTTGCCTCATGGTGCGTGAAAACTCATGACGCCGTAATCCAGCCCACACAATCCTTAAGAGCACCGCATCCAGCAGAATTGGATATTGTACTTGCTACCCAAGGACATGCGGTGGTGTGGATGACTCTAGGTTAATTTCATTCTACTCCCTGTTTGGTGTACTAGTACAACGAGCAGTATTTTATATTATTGTACCCACACCAACGTATGTCCTTGGGTAACGAGTATAACATCCAGTTCTGCTGGATGCGCTACTCTTAAGGATTGTGTGGTCCCGTGGATTAAAGGTGTCATGAGTTTTCACCTACCATGAGGCACGCCAAAGCAGCATGGGTTCGACTCCTTGGCTAGTCGCAGTGTTGTTATTGATCAATACCACTTGTTCGTGGGTACAATAATAATAATAATAATAATAATAATATATATATATATATATATATATATATATATATATATATATATATATATATATATACATATATATATATATATATATATATATATATATATATATATATATATATATATATATATATATATATATATATATATATATATATATATGTCGTGCCGAATATGTAAAACTGGTCAATTAGCAAGAACTCATTTAAAATTAAGTCCTTTCTAAAATTTTCTCTTATACATTTAAAGATATATTTTTTTCATTAATGTTGATGTAAAAATTTATAATTTTGCACCAAAAGGAACTTAGAAAACTTACCTAACCTTATTATAACAAGAACAATTTATTTTAGCCTAACCCAACTAAATATATTTTAGATTTGTTTACAATAATTTAATACTAAACAAACACAGTGAAATATATTTTTTTCGTTAGGTTCAGAATGATTTTGGCGAAATTATTGCATACATAAATTTTCGCTTGTCCTATATGGCAAGATGAGCGTTGCTTTTTAAGCCAAGATCGCAAGTTCTGCCTATTCGGCACGACATATATATATATATATATATATATATATATATATATATATATATGCATTGCTGCCCATCGCATTATATAATGTCGTAGAGGCTGATGCTGTTAAGATGATCATTTTCTATAATTTTAAAAGCAATTAGGTAGCTAGGATATTACTTTTCATTTTACATTTATACACTTTGTTACTTCATTAGCAGTTGCATCTTTTGTAAGGCTCAGTTATAAATACAGGATCAATGACCTGAAGAGTAGTTTAATATTATACAAATCACTACATGTAGTAGTCGCTTCTGGAGGAAACCGCCTCCGCGGACCCGTTGATGGACAGTATATGACAGTATATTGTAACCATGCTTTTAGATATCTGTATTTCATTATATTACTAAAATCTTAACTCCTTCTACATCATACTATTATATATATATATATATATATATATATATATATATATATATATATATATATATATATATATATATATATACAGTGGACCCCCGCTTAACGATCACCTCCAAATGCGACCAATTATGTAAGTGTATTTATGTAAGTGCGTTTGTACGTGTATGTTTGGGGGTCTGAAATGGACTAACGTACTTCACAATATTCCTTATGGGAAAAAATTCGGTCAGTACTGGCACCTGAACATACTTCTGGAATGAAAAAATATCGTTAACCGGGGGTCCACTGTATATATATATATATATATATATATATATATATATATATATATATATATATATATATATATAATGTGCCGAATAGGTAAAACTGATCAATTATCAAGAACTCATATAAAATTAAGTTTTTTCTAAAATTTTCTTATATGTTTGAAGTTGTATTCTTTTCATTAATGCTGATGTAAAAATTAATAATATTGTTCCAAAAAAACATTAGAAAACTTACCTAACCTTATTATAACAAAAGCAATTCAATTTAAACTAATCCACCTTAATATGTTTTAGATAAATCTACAGTTATTTAATAATAAACAAACTCAGTGAAATTTATTATCTTCGCTACGTTCAGAATGTTTTTTGCGAAATTATTGCATACGCAAATTTTCGCTTGCCTTATTCGGCAAGATGAGCGTTGCTGTTTAAGCCAAAATCGCAAGTTTTACCTTTTCGACACGACATATATATATATATATATATATATATATATATATATATATATATATATATATATATATATATATATATATATATATATATATATAATATAAATATATATATATATATATATATATATATATATATATATATATATATATATATATATATATATATATATATATATATATATATATATATATTATATTTTGTTTTAAAATATTTTAAAAAACTTGATAGAGTGCAGATTTTGATATAATAAATGGTAGTATAGTTGTTAGATGTTTGTGTTTGATGTTTTTTGGTGTCCACAGGAAAGGGCTACAACAAGCTAAGGGAAGGTACCATGAAGAAAGTAGTTGAGTTCATGAACAAGCTCTTCGACCTGGTGTACTTGGAAACCCGCTCTGGCAGCTGTGTGTCAGCGACCTCTACCACTACCGCTCCAGAGTTCACAAATAGGGTGACCCCGCCAGGTCAGGTCGCCACTCCGCCCCCTGCTGACGACGCTGACGATAATATGGACGGCGATAAGTCCTAGTCGCCCGCATTTAAGAACCTTTAATGGTTTTTTTTTGTGTCTTTTGTCGTCCCGAGAAGGAACCTTGACTGGCTCTTTCCTCATCATGGTGCATTGTGATTGTGCTGTTCCGTCCTCAAGCAGGTTGTTGATTGGTCCGTGGTTGGTCCGACTGTATCTGAGGCAGGATAAAGGTTAATATTCACTGGCTTTGCGATAGACTGTTCGTGTGTTCCGTCGCTCACTGGTACTAGCTGGCTGAACAAACTTCAGGAGTCAGTGGAAGTTGGACCAAGACGCGTGTAGAGATATGCTTGACGTAACGCTCGGTGTTGTCAGTATCTGGTAATTAACACTTCGTCTGTATTGCCACAAATGTCTCTCGCGACCATGCACAGCATCATCGTGTGTCGTAGGTAGTTGTTGTGGTGTACTAGTCAATATTTATCTTCTAAATGTTCTCTATACACCACCTGCTAGTAATATTTTTTATACCATTAGTGCAGGAATATATTTTGCTTCATATAATTATAGAAACACTTTAAATGAAAACATCAGGTTCCCTGGGCCGCATCCAGACACTTTCAATATTCTCTCACGTATCAGCACTGCTGAAGCAGCCAAGCTGCGGCTTCCTTCCAGGCAGGATCTCCAACCTGGCTGCAATAGATCCCAAAGCACCATTCTTCAAGCGCTAAACTTATAGCCCATTCGTCTGTCATTCTCCTCCAGCCTGTAGCCATAAGAAGCCTCCCGTCTTCTCCGAAATCCCAAAATTAAAAATACGAGCCTCCCTAGAATCACTGTTCGTAATTGTATTGCTTCGAACTCTTTCAAATGCGGCTTTTTCACTCTCTCAGAAACTATAAAAAAAACATAGCCACTAGTCTTAAGAGAATCATAATAATTATATATTTTTAACCATTATAATTTCTTCTAATGCCATATTACAAATCCGATACACGCACACTTAGCAAGTGCCCGAGTAATATAACATGATATATCTGCAACCAAGTTCAATAATTATACTACTCTTCAAGCTCCACCTTAAGTTAGGATACATTGTTGAATCTGGTCCCTCAGGCCCAAGTTGCCATTACAACCAAGGAAATCTGCCATTTTTGGTAGTTGTCCAATTTTTCATTAAAATATCTGCATTTGTTCGGGCGAGATCTAGCAACAGTTGAATTCAATAAATATTTGTATAAATAGTCTGCGTGTGTAAGCAACTTGCAGGAGCTGCCATGCTAAACCCAGGCTCAGCCTGCACGAGTCCCATGCTAAACCCAGGCTCAGCCTGCACGAGTCCCATACTAAACCCAGGCTCAGCCTGCACGAGTCCAATGCTAAACCCAGGCTCAGCCTGCACAAGTCCCTCTGTATATAGTCTGTACAATCCTTTAAGTTTTCCATACATTGTCTCTGTGTTTGCTGGTAAATAGTCACACACTGTTCCCACACCTGGTGTGTGGTGGTGTTCCCACACCTGTAGTGTGGCACTGTTCCCACACCTGGTGTGTGGCGCTGTTCCCACACCTGTTGTGTGGCACTGTTCCCACAACTTGTGTGTGATGGTGTTCCCACACCTGGTGTGTGGCGCTATTCCCACATCTGTTGTGTGGCACTATTCCCACACCTGGTGTGTAGAGGTGTTCCCACACCTGGTGTATGGCACTGTTCCCACACCTTGTGTGTGATGGTGTTCCCACACCTGGTGTGTGATGGTGCTCCCACACCTGTTGTGTGCCACTGATCCCACACCTGGTGTTTAGAGGTGTTCCCACACCTGGTGTGTGGCACTTTTCCCACACCTTGTGTGTGATGGTTTCCCACACCTGGTGTGTGATGGTGTTCCCACACCTGGTGTGTGATGGTGTTCCCACACCTGGTGTATGACGGTGTTCCCACACCTTGGTGTATGACGGTGTTCCCACATCTGGTGTATGACGGTGTTCCCACACCTGGTGTGTGATGGTGTTCCCACACCTGGTGTGTGATGGTGTTCCCACACCTTGGTGTATGACGGTGTTCCCACACCTTGGTGTATGACGGTGTTCCCACACCTTGGTGTTTGACGGTGTTGCCACACCTGGTGTATGACAGTGTTGCCACACCTGGTGTTACCATCGTGCCAGCAGCCTCTTGGGCTTTACAAAATAATGGTATTACTGATGTCAGGAAACTTTCTCCTTAATGCTATATAAGGTTGCAATTGCTCTACCCGTCCAGGATATTAACTGGCTGATTAAGGGAGGGTATCTTATCATTCCGTCCAGTTTACGAGTAGTGTTGTGCGCGAGGATGACTGTTCTATCAGTGCTTCAGACTGTAACTTAGTCATTCCGTCCAAGTTAAGTTACGGTGTTGTGTGTAAGGGACAAGCACCGTTCCGTCCAGGTTAAGTTACGGTGTTGTGTGTAAGGGACAAGCACCGTTCCGTCCGGGTTAAGTTACGGTGTTGTGTGTAAGGGACAAGCACCATTCCGTCTAGGTTAAGTTACGGTGTTGTGTGTAAGGGACAAGCACCAAATTTCCCCCAGGTTTTAAATTTACGATTTTGTGTGTAAGGGACAAGCACCGTTCCGTCCAGGTTAAGTTACGGTGTTGTGTGTAAGGGACAAGCACCGTTCCGTCCAGGTTAAGTTACGGTGTTGTGTGTAAGGGACAAGCACCGTTCCGTCCAGGTTAAGTTACGATTTTGTGTGTAAGGGACAAGCACCGTTCCGTCCAGGTTAAGTTACGGTGTTGTGTGTAAGGGACAAGCACCGTTCCGTCCAAGTTAAGTTACGGTGTTGTGTGTAAGGGACAAGCACCATTCCGTCCAGGTTAAGTTACGATTTTGTGTGTAAGGGACAAGCACCGTTCCGTCCAGGTTAAGTTACGGTGTTGTGTGTAAGGGACAAGCACCATTCCGTCCAGGTTAAGTTACGGTGTTGTGTGTAAGGGACAAGCACCATTCCGTCCAGGTTAAGTTACGGTGTTGTGTGTAAGGGACAAGCACCGTTCCATCCAGGTTAAGTTACGGTGTTGTGTGTAAGGGACAAGCACCATTCCGTCCAGGTTAAGTTACGGTGTTGTGTGTAAGGGATAAGCACCATTCCGTCCAGGTTAAGTTACGATTTTGTGTGTAAGGGACAAGCACCGTTCCGTCCAGGTTAAGTTACGGTGTTGTGTGTAAGGGACAAGCACCGTTCCGTCCAAGTTAAGTTACGGTGTTGTGTGTAAGGGACAAGCACCATTCCGTCCAGGTTAAGTTACGGTGTTGTGTGTAAGGGACAAGCACCGTTCCGTCCAGGTTAAGTTACGGTGTTGTGTGTAAGGGACAAGCACCATTCCGTCCAGGTTAAGTTACGGTGTTGTGTTTAAGGGACAAGCACCATTCCGTCCAGGTTAAGTTACGGTGTTGTGTGTAAGGGACAAGCACCATTCCGTCCAGGTTAAGTTACGGTGTTGTGTTTAAGGGACAAGCACCATTCCGTCCAGGTTAAGTTACGGTGTTGTGTGTAAGGGACAAGCACCATTCCGTCCAGGTTAAGTTACGGTGTTGTGTTTAAGGGACAAGCACCATTCCGTCCAGGTTAAGTTACGGTGTTGTGTGTAAGGGACAAGCACCATTCCTTCCAGGTTGTGAAGTGGTGATGTGCACAAGAATAACTCGTCAATTTGTGCGGCTGTATTGAGGGTATCAGGCCTAACCAACTCTCCGTCCAAAAAATGCAATGCTGATGTAAGTTCTGAGGTGTGTGTGTGTGTTTGTGTGTGTTTGTGTATGTGTGTGTGTGTGTGTGTGTGTGTGTGTGTGTGTGTGGGTGTGGGTGTGGGTGTATATACTTGTGTTTATACATGTTAGTGTCCGGGCATCATATTACGAGGATATTCTCAGTGTTTTGCTACTTATTTTCCCTTTCATTTACAAGTTTATAGACTTAGACTCTCTATATAACTGAACAAACGAGAGTTTCTCCATGCTTGCTTCTCTCTCTTATGATTCGAGACGTATACCATTATCCATATTGCTTTAAAGGCAGTTTTGAATATATCAAATTACCTATCATTCAAAGTAGACGCTTTAGCATTGTTATGCTTAATGACTTAGTTGGATCAAAGTTATAATGAAGAGTCAATGTAAATTTCTTGAAAAATTAAAAATAGATATTATGAGCAATACCGATCAGCTTGTTATAACTGAAAAAAAGAGGAGGAATTGAAAGAGATGGAAGCGTAGAGGGCGAGGGAGATGGAAGGTAAGAGGGACAGGGAAATGTAAAGATAAAGGAAATGGCTGAGAGGGGAAAGGGAAGTAATTGGAGAGGGAGTGGCAAAGAGAGAAGGAAAGGTAGAGAGAGAGAGGAAAGGAGAGAGAGTGAGAAGGAGGGAGAGGAGAAGAAAAGGAAAGATAGAGGGAGTGGGAATGGTACAGGGAGAGGGAAGGATAGAGGAAGGAGAGGGAATGGCATAGGGAGAAGGAATGGTCAAGCTAGTGGGAAGTTTGAGGAAGGAGCAAGTGTGAAGACAAAGATACAGGGCAGGACAGTGGGAGAAGGAAAAGTAGAGGGATATGAAAAATGAAGAGAAGAGAAGGAAGACAAAGAGAGAGCGGGAAGTATAAAAAGAGAGAGTAGGGCACATAAAGAGCGATGAGTAATGGGAGAGAAAAGTATAAAGAGATGGCGTGGAAGAGAAGGGACAAGACATAGGTGAAGAATGTGGTATACTTTCCCCGGTATATGTGAGTCTACCTGTTGCTCTGGTTGTCTCATCTTATGTTGAACATTCTTCGTGTGTGTATGTATACATGTTATGCATTTGTATGCATGGTGTATACGTGTATGTATATGGTGTATACATAATATATACTTCTATATGTATGCCTAGTGTATACCTATATACATGATGAAAACTGGAGTTTAATTATATAAAATGTGCACTCTAGTATACATGGTGTATCCTTGTATGTATGGTGTGTCCTTGTATGTATGGTATATACTTGTATGAATGGTGTATACTTCACCAAAAAAAAACCGCACTTAAGAGAGATGAAGGACAGGATGACACTTCGGCCTGTTTTGGAACAATGTCAAATAACAACTAAGAAACAGGGAAGTCAGAAGACGGAACTGAGGAAGAGAGAAGGAGGAGGAGGATAGTAACAGTAGTAGTAGTAGTAGTAGCAGCAGCAGCAGCACTATTGTAGCTGCTACTACTACGACTACTACTTCTACTACTACTACTACTACTTATACTACTACTAGTACTACTATTATTACTACTATTACTACTACTACTATTACTACTACTACTACTACTACTACTACTACTACTACTACTACTACTACTACTACTACTACTACTCCTACTACTACTATTACGACTACTGGTCTCGTGCCCCTCCTCCACCATCTCCCTTCCCCCATTCTGTCTTCTGGACTTCCAGGATGGTCACACAGTGGTCCAGGATGGTCACACAGTGGTCCAGGATGGTCACACAGTGCTCCAGGATGGTCACACAGTGCTCCAGGATGGTCACACAGTGCTCCAGGATGGTCACACAGTGCTCCAGGATGGTTACACAGTGCTCCAGGATGGTCACACAGTGCTCCAGGATGGTCACACAGTGCTCCAGGATGGTCACATTGTTCCAGGATGGTCACACACGTCAAGCTAAGTGCGAAATATTGCTGAATTATTCCAGCCACGGCATTGTGACCTTCAATCTCCAAGATGTATAATTATATGTGTGCTGTGTACTTCTGTAGCTACATACTGCTGTATTTGAGTATATATGAGTATATATTTGTTTATCATTATGTATGTATACAGTACTAATTATTCAGCTGCATCTTTCTATGCCTGAAAATCATTATATCTGGATATTTTTGCATCTAAGCCAAATGTATGTATACCTGAATGTTTATGTATATGTTTATGTATGTTCAGATGAATGGTATACCTGGTTATTAATATACCTGTATGTTTACCTCTATACATGAGTAATTATACGTGTATTATACGTTCTCGTGCCTGTGCGCTTCGAGTCTGAGATTTTTCGTGTCAAATTGTCGCCGACAGTGCTAATGTCGAAGTATATACAAATAAATTGTTTATTTAGTTTATTTAGAGTAAAAAATATATAATGCGAGCAATTTATTCTTCTGTGTATTATTAGCCCTTTTAAAACCAATTAGAAGAGAGAGTGAGAGAGGGGGGAGGGTTAGGTTTCTATCGGCTATCCTCTATCCGTTGTTCTTGAAAATCTTTATATGGAATATTTTCTACTTCCTACTATTGGCGTTCGTCCTTACCTTTGTAGATGATGTCATTGTTTTTTGGCCACACTACTCTAGTCTCTTCCAACCATTTCTCGATGCTCGTAACACTCTCCCCTCAAGGAAGGTTCCTTGATGTTGGTGAGGGGCTCTTTATTTAGGGAATTGGATCTGTGCTCCAGTTCCCCGAATTAAGCCTGAATGCCTTCACATCCCCCCCCCCAGGCGCTGTATAATCCTCCGGGTTTAGCGCTTCCCCTTGATTATAATAATAATAATCGTAACACACTACCTCCTTCCATTATGTTCAAAGCTGAATAGGAATCTAAACTCTTCGCTTCCTCTCCAGGATGTTCATATGAGTCCATCGCTCAGCGATAGGCTTCCTTTTTTCCGTTTATCGTATGCCAATGCACGGTGGAATGCACATTCGCTGCTCTCTCTGTTTCTCTTTTATGTCGTGGCCTTTGAATCTGTGACCCTCATTTCTTTGACTCAGAAATTTCCACTCTTCATAGATCGTTCCCTTGTCTTGGCTGCCCTTCCGATTTCATAAACTCTTCCTTCTAAAATGGACTTTCTTCTCTCCCAAACTCTCTTCTGTGACATCTATCATTTACCTTCCATATATTTCCAGTCCCCCAAATCTTAACACTGTCCGTTCGTTGACATCAAACTTTCTTTTCGCCAATCTAATAAATACCCTTTGTAGTAATCTTGTTCCTATTTCTCACCCTGCCACTGATGCTTTCGGAGTCTACTCCATTCCTCTTGTTCAACACACAGGAGAAACAGGCCGCTCACATTCTGACAGGCTTAAAGAGCACAAAAGAAGCGTTAACCTTGTCGGCACTAACAATACTCTTTTTATCATGTTACAGATCAAGGTCAGCCTAGTAACTGATCCTCTGCCAAAACTGTCTATCCTTCTTCTGGCCTTTAACAGAAGCCTTCTTGCTGAATCATCCCTTATAAACAATTTTCCTAATATGAATCTTAGTCCTGGCTTTGTTTCTGTAGATGCCTACCTTTCTTATTACATTGTCAAGTGCTCTAAACCTCAAAACACTTGTCTCCTCCTCCCCCTACTTCTCCACATTTCCTATATATTTTTTCCTTTCCATTTTTTGCATAATTGGGTTTTGGCTTATGGGGTTTTATGCCGCAGAGATTTTACCCCAACCATAGACCATTATCTCTCCTGCTGTGCCCTTCTGCTCTTTTGTTCTTTAGCCTACCTCCTC